ATGATGATTCTAAGCTTCTAGGAGTGTCAAAAGATCAACCCAAGGTGAGCTTTCTCCCACCTCTCTCACTAGATAAGAATCAAAGGCAAGGATTACTAACATTGTTGGGATGTTTATAGAAGAATTTAAATGTTTCTAGATGTCTAAATCTCCCCAAAACAAACTAAAATCACTTAGGTTCCTAAAACCTCACACTAAACCCACACTTTGAAAACTAAGGCCAAAACTTGTGTTTGTAGGCTTTAATTGAAGCTTAGGGTGGGTAGATTTTGAAACTTAACTTGGAAATCCTAAAATAGGCTTGTAAACTTCAAAATTTTGACCTTTTCTAAGCTTTGGAGAAGAAAAAAGTGAATGGAGAAGAAGAGAAGAAGACAAGCTTGGTGTGGTGAAAAAGAGAAAAGGAAACAAATTTATATCACCTATTTTAATTGGTTTTCAGCATTATTTTTTAACAATGGTATAATTGCTTCCTTGGTCCCCCTTATTTTGTTTACAAACTAAAAATTCCCTATTTATCCATTATTGGGCTCAATCCATGCCCAAATTCACTAATTCTTGGATCAAAGCTTCTTATAAACTAGGAAATTATTTCAAGGCCCAACTCGAGTTGTTAGTAATGCTCAATCCCACACAGAGTGGGAAATACTTTGGGATTGGGTATTTAAGGTTTTCATTCTCCACTCTTTTATTCAGTGATAGAGAACAAGGGGGTTTCTCACTCATAGCCGTCGTCACCGTTCGTCTCGTCTCGACTCGTGTTAGTGCCCGTGGATGTGAACGTGGTTGTGGTTGAGGTCGAGGTCGAGGCTCATGGCTCATGGCTCGTGGAAATATGTGTCTTCGACACATCCGTACAGTTGCTATCTTTTTAGAGAAAATTCGTAAGAAATATTTCTCTGAAAGAACAAATGAAAAAAATGTGAAAGAATTTGTCTGGTATTTATAGGCTATGAAGTCCACAGAGAGTAAAGATTATTTTAATTAGCTGTATTGATTTCTGAAATTTAAAATTTAAACAGACAGTTTTCTAAAATTAATATGTAAATGTTAGAATGAACCTTGCCAACTTTACATCTCTGTTCAATATAAGAATTGAGTTGTTAATTATGCTAGTTACGAGAGTTACAGAAGTAACTGTAGAACTTACAAATGTCTGTGAGTTATACAATGTATATGGACACTATCAGAGCCAAATTCCCCTGTTTAATTTAGCAGTTTCATTAGTTTAAAGATAGCAGTTACGCAGAGTTAATTTTGGGAAATAAAATCATATTTATTTCTGATTTGTGTTGGACGAAAATGCCCATTTATTTAGCCTATAAATAGAGAGCTCATTTGGCTTCTTAACTTATCCCACAATTCACTCAAATATCCCTCAACTCACTCAAAGCTTTCTAATCTTCTGAGTCTTTTCGGTAATCAGATGAGCAGTCCACTTCGGTTCTGGGTGTATGGAATTTGGAGTGACTGTGTTAACCTCAGGGGATGATTTGCTTATTGGAGAGATTACACACATCGAGACAAATTTGTTTCTAAGGCAGTGGTTTTTACCACGACAAGGTTTTGGTTGATCAAATAATTAATTTTATTTATTTTTGCCAGTCAGTGCTAATAGTGTTATTTTGCAGTTAACTTTACCGAAAATTTAGAAACGAATTCATATACTGCAAATATGACATAACATTTGAGCAAGTTGATTCCCTATCTTTTCAAGCTCGACACACTCGATCAAAAAATTATCGGAGGTGGTCCTAGCGGATACTGATATTCTTCGAGTAGCTTGACCTAGATTATGTTTTGCTCAAGTCACCACCTACCATTCCACCAACCACCTCAGTTACTGAAGACAATGTCGATACGGTCCAGACTGATACCGCCTTAGTCGCTATTGCTACGATTGCCGCTACTATCAAAAAATACGAGAATGACAATAAGACGGTACGAGAAAATCTTATCAGCCACATGTATAACAAAATTTTTGACATATTCCTTAGAGAAAGAAGTGGCAAGGCGATCTGAGACACTCTAGAGAAGAAATACGGGGCTGACAATGCATGCATAAAGAAATACGTTGTCAAAGAATGACTCAAATTCCAAATGACAGAAGATAAGCCTATAATAGATCAAGTCCATGACTACGAGAATCTGGTGGCCGATATCATTGTTGAAGGAATACAATTGTGTGAAGTACTCCAAGCCAATTTCCTCATCGAAAAGATGCCCAAGTCCTGGTCTGACTACTGCAACTCCCAATTTTCTAAAGGATAAGGTTACAAGTTTCTTTAGTAATATGTCTTTTAAATATAACTTGGTTGAATCTGGTGGTGTCTCAAGGGTCTAAGTTTAAAAAGACTGTGAAACGAGGGAATCCGAACAAAATGATGAAACCTCATAAGGACGCCAATTTCAAGAAACTGGGAAAGGCCAAAGCTGATGGAAAGATGCTCAAGTGCTGTGTTTGTGGTCTATCCGATCACAAAGCTTATCAATGCCAACACTACTACACTACTCAGGCCGTCAAATAACAACAAGCAAAAAATGCATGTTACGGAGAACTATGATGACATCATTACTACAGTGGCTTATGAAGTTAACCTAGTAGAGAACAGTTCTAAGTGGGTGGTTGATACTGATGCTTCCAAACACTTCTGTGCAATGAAGGATTTTCTCACTGAGTTTGAGGATAGGAATGAAGGTGAACGAGTGTACATGGGAACTCAAGCAGTTCTGAAGTACTGTATGTACCTGCCTTAAATAATGTTCTGAGTGGGTGGTTGATATGGATGCCTTAAATAAGTTGACTTCTGGTAAACTTTAGTGAACCTAGTGGAGAATTGTTCTCCACTCAGCACTAAGTTAAATAAGTTACTTTAAATAAGGTGGTTTTCGAAGTTAACTTAGTAGAGAACAGTTCTGAGTGGGTGGTTGATACTGATGCCTTAAATAATGTTCTGTACGTATAAATTTAATAAGTGACGAGCTTCTGAATAAGAAAGGCATTAAGTTAGTTTTTTAGGTTGATAAACTTGTACTTTCCCGAAACGGTGATTATGTAGGGAAAGGTTTTTTAAACGGGGGTTTATTTGTCATAAAAACTCGACTTAATGAGAATAAATATACCACTTCCACTTATATTGTTGAATCTGTTGATATGTGGCATGTTAGATTAGGGAACGTTAACGTTCATGCTTTAAAGAAATTGATGAAAATGAATGTTTTGCCTAAACTAGACATAACTAGGTTTAACAAACGTGAAATTTCTGTAGAAGTCAAGCATGCTAAACCTCAATTTAATATTGCTTCTAAGAGAAAGACTAAATTGTTAGAACTCATTCATATTGATCTAGCAGACTTTAGAAACACTTAAAGTAAAGGAGGAAACACTAAATAACCTTTGTAGATGATTACTCGAGATACACAAAGGTTTATCTCCTTAGAACTAAAGACGAGGTTGAAAACTTCTTTCTTCTTTATAAAGAAAAAGTTGAGAATCGGTTTGATAGGAGAATCAAACGTCTTATATTTGATAGAGGTGGAGAATACGGATCGAATTTCTTAAAATAGGTGTGTGAAAAGAATTACATAATTCACAAAACTTAAGCCCCTTATTTTCCTTAACAAAACGGTATAGCCAAAAGGAAAAACAGAACTTTAAAAGATATGATGAACTCATTGTTGATGAGTTATGTATTATCTAATAACATGTGAGGGGGTGTCATTCTATCGGTAAATCATATCATGAACCGAGCACCTCATAAGAAATTAGATTCTACTCTATACGAGTTGTGGAAATGATACGCTCCAAATCTACAATACTTGAAAGTGTGGGGGTGTCTAGCTAAAGTGGAATTTTTTAATTTTAAGAAGTCCACCATTGGACCTAACACTGTTGATGCAGTGTTCATAGTGTATGCTACAAACAGCGCCGCATACAGATTCATACTTCTACTAGACTATTCTATTCGTGAGTCGAGAGATGTCCTTAAATTGTCTTGTAGTTTGTTTAAGCGATGGTGTACTTCACACAAATACTTCTTTGACAAGAATTTGATTCTCATGGTTATGTCCAGAGAGCCATAGACTTCTCCTGATTATGGAAGACCTTAGAGAACTATGCCCTAAAAGTCTCCTTGAAATTACTCCACTTCACTCTCACACACAAATGATTTGTGTTGCTGAACTCAAAAGAAATACACAATAGTCCTTAAAAGTATTGCTTAACCTTTTTTTCTATTTTTTAATCAATTTTTTATTCATCAAAGGAATGGAATTGGGATAAGAACTCTCACGGTGATCTCACAAGGTCTGTGCAAGTTAGTTATCCTATTGAACTTATATCTTGGGATCTTCAGTCAACTAGGTTGTATTTTCCTTCACATAGAGCTTTAATAATTCATGGACTTTAGTCATATTCCTTTCAATGTTTTCATAAACTTGTTCTCGATTCAATCTTTCGAATAGCAGATCTACAATGTTATCTTTTCATCATATAAATTAATAAAGATAACCGTATTTGATATCAATTTTCTAATGATATTTGTCAGCAACGCATATGTCTCGACTTGCCATTATACATTACATTATGTTCTTTACCAATTGTTGCTTGCTTATTGTAATATATGAGTTATTACATTTACAAGACACTCATATACTTTCAAATAATTTTAGGATGGTTTTTCTACTTTTTTTCATAACTTATATGATATCTTATCTCTTTTCTTATGATTAAGGGTGTGTAAATTCAAATATCGGATCTAATCCTATCTGAAAATTACAATAAACAAAAATTTCAGATACTTAAAATAGTGATCCGTATATGATCCAAAAAATCGGCTAGCGACCGATGAAACAAATTTACTTTCATGAACAAGTATTATAATTTATATAAAAATTTATTGCCACGACGTCAAGAAAATGCAAATTTATTGTTCTAGATTATTTGCTTATTTTTTTTCTTCTAATTAACATTAATTTCCTCACCCGATATTTTAACAGGTAGGTTGCGTAATTCATGAAGTGCCTCATCGATTGCGAAAAGTAAAGGAAATAGCATACGAACCAAATGTCATTTCAATTGGTCCTTATCACTATGGTAAGAAACACTTGAAGGCGATGGAAGTTATCAAACGGAGTTGCTTTAATCAGATACTTGAGGTAATAAAACTTGAATCCAGTGAATTTATAAAGGCCATGAAAGACTCTGAAGAAGAAGTTCGCAAATGCTATAAAGGACCTATTGACCACTGTGAGAAATTTGTAGAAATGATGGTCTACGATGGATGCTTCATTGTTCAGTTAATCCGAAATATTTATCCAGAAGATCTTTGCAATCTAGGACGACATAGTCGAAAGGACATGTGGTATGATTTGTTATTGTTAGAAAATCAGCTTCCTTTCTTTGTGCTTTTCAAGTTGGATTGTATGATAATGCGCAAGGGTGAAGGAGATTTTGATGAGTTCGCTCGTGCTGCCATTTCTCCATTCCAATCAGAACTGCTTGGATCGCTTACATGGTCTGGTAAAAAAACCTATACCTCTCCTGCAGAAGATATAAAGCATCTCTTAGACTTGGTACATAATTGTTGTCGTCCTTCAACTCAAGGGATATTTCAACACCAGAAATTTAAACCAGAAACGACACATATATCTTATCGCTCTTGGAATTTCATACGCAGTGCTACGGAACTGGAAGATGCAGGGATCCATTTCTTAGGCAAGAAGGTGGTACAAAATCTTGATCAGGAGGAAGAGATAGAGAGCTTGTTTGATATAACGTTCACAAAAGAGCATGGAGCTTGTTTGAAGATTCCTACCCTATGCATCGACGATAACACAGAGCGTATCTTTCGTAATTTCATGGCCTATGAACAATTCACTCAAATTGGGGACCCAACTTTCGTTTCTGATTATGTGTTGTTCATGGATAACCTCATCAACACGGGCAAGGATGTGCAATTACTCTGCACCAGTGGAATTATCGATAACTGGTTAGGGGATGATGAGATAGTTGCCCAAATGATTAACAAACTTCGTGACTGGATATCCTTTACAGAAGACTTCTACTATGCCGAGACATTTGTTAGGGTGAACAAGCATTGCAAGAGAAAGTGGAACAAATATATGGCCATACTGAAGAAAGATTATTTCAACTCTCCCTGGTCGCTTTGTTCGTTTGTTGCTGCGGTTGTTTTGCTCCTGCTTACCATGCTACAAACTATATATACAGTTCTCTCTTATCATCATCAGTAACTTTCGCAACTTTGGATGTAGTAAGAATTGGGGACACCTTCTCCAAGACTGACTCTTTTATTCTGGAACACTGTGTTATGCTTGGTGTCAGAAGTATGCTATGTTTTTGTTTCAACTTTTGATTTCTTCTCTGTAATGTTTTCATTTTGTCCAACCTCTTTGATGTTGGTGTTGGTTATTTGTTATGCTGCGCTTCTCCATACAGTAGTCGATGTTTAGATTTTATGATCAAAGGGCATCCTAAATGTGATTCCAAAATGCTTTAGTTTATAATTACAAGGTATTACTTTAGACTTTACTATATATAGTGAATAATAATTTGGGTATCTTATCTCATGGATAATTGCTCTTTATAGATTGCTGATTACTTTTAATTTCATATAAATTATATGGTTAATTATCTTCAAAATCTTTGTTTTTGATTAAATTTCTAAGGGTAAATTTGTTACATTATAATTGATTTTTCGAAAAAAAATATTTTTCTCAATTTTCAGAGTTTGTTTCGTGAAAACCAGATTAGTCAATGTAATTCATTTTTCGGTCAACATAATTTTTTTGACATTTTTTTAAAATGACCTACGATCTAATTTTATGTCTTTAATAATAATAACATATTTTAGTATCATTTTGATAAAATATTAATTATTCAAATGCATTTATTAATAATTTTAATAAATATAATAATAATATTAATAATATATTTAATGCAATAACTTTAATAATATATTTTTAATATTAGATTTTTATTCTAATAATATATAATAGTTGTTAATGAAATCAATATTATTTATTAATTTCATAAAAAATAGTATTATTGAATTATTCAATATTCATTAAGTTGACAACCGGTCCGACGACTTTCCACATATACAAAGTTCTTTCGTTGGAACTCCTTATGGTTCATGAAGAAACTATGCATGACTAAGATGTGTACAGGGTCGCAGTTTGATAAGTTCATTTGTATAGGAGAGCAAGAGTCATACAAGCTCGTAAAGTCACTGCTGAAGAAGTCAAAAGATAGGGAGCCATGTGACTTAACAGCAGAGCTGTTGGAGCCCAAAGGAGGCAAATAACATGATTTATAGGATGACAGTAGGAAGGAGATGTTCAAAGAATATTAGTCATGCCGCAGATATCAGAGAGTTCAAGTTAGATTCCTTGAAACATGCAGCAAAGTTTCATTTAGGGGAAATGTTCTGTCCTTTGATGAAACTCGACCTCTTTGGTAATGGAAAAAAAGCTCAACGCTGCTCTAAAGGGCATAAGGCACATCGAGACGCAAAAGGTTCTTGGAGCCTAGATGCAATACGCAGGCACAGGCCTTTCAAGTGTGAGGTGCACCTTTTGTACTGCATGATATAGATAAAGTATAAACTATATTTTGTACTCAAAATAACATGGTAAGTATAGTTCTTTAAAGATCAAAATATTCAATATCATTGCACTATCAAGTATCAACTAGCAACAAACAAACTAACATAAAAAGTATAGTTCAAATAGAAGAAATACAAAGCAAAGCAAATATCATTATCTTAATGTGCTGAGTTGTGACACTTAAATAAAAAGCAAAGTAAAGTAGCAAACAACTACATTAATACATAATCACTCCAAATCATTGTCATCCTCGTAACCATCTTCATCATTTTCATCAAATTCTTCATCTTCACCAATATTCTCTTTTATCTCATCATCGTTATTCATCAAAGGCGGAGTTGGCATGGGAGCTGATGTAGGGGTAGAGCTAGTAGCTACACCTTTTCCCTTGTCAAATTTGGAGGAATGTGCAAAACTTTAATTTACATTCTTTAATGTTCTAGTCAAATAGCTAGAATCGTGTGCTCCGACAGCTCTACTAACATGATTCCATGTCAAGTCATTATCATCAAACACAAAATCATCTTCATTGTCATTTTAATCATCCATTCTTCCCAATAACCACTCATTACTCTCATCAACATCTTCCAAGAGAATAAGACTGATGGTGTCTTTTTTTGGTATCAATATTTCAATGCATGATTATATTTTTAAAAACATCAAATCATTCAAATATCATTGTGTCAATATGTTTCTAGTCTTTTTATGAAGTTATAAGAAGTAAAATTTTATATATGTTATTAAATAATTAAAGACTAAGTGTTATGACATAGGAAGAAAAGAAATAATTTCTTATGAGTTGAAAAATACTCCAATGTCTCTCACAATCGGTGACACTACAACTGATACTGAAAACTCTTATAGAGAATTTTTGAAGATTTTGAAGTCGATCCTTTAAATGTACACCATCAGTCCATTGTTAAAATAAAAGCCAAACATCATATAAGCTCTAAGCTAGTGTATGGTGAATTCAAAAACTTTTAAACATAATATATTATAACTTACTATAACTTTTAAATTTAAGACCTGGAGATTTTATCTTTCTTAGCCTAATGGACATTGGTAAACCAAAAAGACCTCGAGCATTTTGATATATCTCTAACTCTCTAATAATATTGTCTTGAATTTCAATATTCAAATTTAACCATATAATGAAATCAAATAAGCCCGACATAACTTATTCACTTGATGTCTCAAGATTATCATAATAAAGATTCAGGTTTAAAAAATAACCAAATACATGCAAAGGTCGGTAAAATTGGCAATCCCATCATATATCGATATACTCAAAAGCTTGTTTGTAGTTCTCATCCTTCATTTCAAAACTCTTCGAAAGATTCTTCTTAGATCTTTCTATAGCTTTATAAATGTACCTCAAGAGAGGTTTTTGCTCTCCATCAACTATTCAAAGAACCTTAACAAGAGGCCCAGATAACTTAAGAGCATGCATCACATTCCTCTAAAAAATATTGTAAAAGGTACGATGTCACTTTCTTTCATCCTGCCTCTTTTGGCCACTTAGATTCAGTCTATTATTGAAGAAGAAGAAAACCATCTTCTTCAAATTGTTCCTTTGCTTATGAAATTGTTCAAGAGTGATGAAAGATGTTGCAAATCTTGTTATAGTCGGTCTATAAATTCCTCTGATTTGTGAACTTCCCCATCATGCATGTATGTATGAACTTCCCCATCATACATACATACATGTATCCTTCAACATGAGATCAATACGGTATGACACAAAGAGTTCAATAAAAATTTGATCTCTTGACTTCTAGCATTTTTCCTACATTTTAAAAATAATAATAAATTACTCAAAGAATTCAATGTTTAAGTAAATTGAATAAAAAATAAAGAAAGAAAATGGTTAAATGAATTTACATTTCGTACCGACTTTGACGTAGTTAGATGCATTGCCTGTCACCAATTGGGCTATATTGCCTTCTCATTTTCTCCACCATCTTGTCAAGCATCTAAAACAGTAAATTTGCATTTTTGACTGTTTCTAAATCATTCATGGATTTAAGGAACACAAAGACCATTTGAGAATTGACAGGGAAGTTCACAATATCTTTTTGGATGACACAATCACGCCATCTATCTGATAAGATTGAACGATCCTTTTGTGTCACTTCTTTTTGTGATCCTCCATTAATTTTTGAGTGTCATCTACTCCTTTCTTAAGAAGAGAAACTTTAATCTCATGCATAATTGGAGGTTTCAAATCGGGACTATAATGTCTTATAGATAATGTATTTCTTTGAAATTAGGGTGATTTGACGCATTGAATACAATTATGGAAAAAATCTTATGATTACCTTATAAGATTTCTCCCTTAACTATTTATCAGAAGCTGCATGTACACCTCCATCTTTGTTTGGATTAGCTTTAGGAGTGACAAATAAGTCCATTGGACCCTTGACTCTTAATTTTTTGAGTAAGAGTCTTTCATACTTTTAATTTGAGTTACCTCCCATAATATCTCAATTTCTTCATCATCATCGTACTTATCAATATCGAGAAAACTCTTGGAGTAACACTAAATTTGCAACTTTTGCCTCTTCCATTTTATTCATAAAGGCCTTCACTTCCTCCTACATGCTCACGACAATTAAGACACTTGGTCACATTCCTAAATCCTCCCACCAAGTGATGTTTCACCTAATACATCGTTCCCTTAGAAATCTTTCCACAAAAAATGCAGGCCTAATTGTTCTTGTTCATCAGCTCGACTTTCCATATTTTTTTTGCCATAACCATAGTAGTCAATGATCTAGTTGAAGTTGTTTCCGACTATTATTTAATTTTTAACAACATGAAATTCATATGAAACGTTATATTAGAAATCAAACCAAGAAAACATTCTATTAGAAATCAAACCAATCAAATCAAACAGTAACTTAGGATGTTAAATTTTGGCATTGTCTATATTATGCCATTCTCTTATGGGGCATTTGGATCAAGGAAAATATCATTACCAAAGAGAATAATGTTTTTCAGAATAACATATCCATGTTGATTCAAAAGCATTCCCACTACGAGGTAATGAAACATTACCTACAGAACCTTTTTCACCTTGTATTTCGAGGAATCTCATTCTCTCCATTTCTTAGGTATTAGACAATTCTCTCCACTTACCCCTGAATAATATAATTATTTCAAAATTATCATTTCTTTTGTATATAATTACACGGGTATAAATCTATTTTATTTATTTTTAATACTTATTATAAAATAATATGATGCATATAAAATAAAAGGTAAAATAAAATATATCAATATTTTATTTTATTTTGATTATTTTTATGTATGTGTTCAATTCAAATTTTATTTTTTGTATATGTTTTATTACATGTATTATCTAAGATTAATTTTCGTAAAAGGTTTTCGTATTATATATTTTTAATATTTTCTATTAATTTTGTCATATAATTTGATATGATATTTTTTTATACAACTCATATATGTAACTTAAATAAAAAAAGTGTAGTAATTAACACATACTTACATTTTCCCAACCTAAAAATAAATGCATACTGTAGACACCCGTTTTTGTCCGGGTTTTTTTCCGTTATTTTATTATTATTATTATTATTATCGTTATCTTATTATTTTATTATTATTTA